TTCAAGTGAAACCAGCATTCCTCTGGCTAAGATACTACAAGGTAAACAAAAGAAAAAATAAATGAGACTACATCAAACTAAAAAGTTTAATAAATTTTATTGATTTTTTTATTTTTTATTTAGAGAGAAGAGAGAAGAAGAGAGGGAGAGGGAGAAACATCAATGTGAGAGAGAAACATTGATCAGTTGCTTCCTGTATGAATTCCCATTGTACCCTGACCAGAAATCGAACCCGCCATCTTTTGGTACATGGGCCTATGCTCCAACTTACTGAGCCACACCAGCCAGGGCCAAACTGAAAGGTTTTAGCACAGCAAAGGAAACCATCAACAAAATGAAGACAATCCACTGATTGGGAGAACATATTTGTCAATTACATATCTGATAAGAGGTTAATATCCAAAATTTATAAATAACTTATAAACTTTGATACCAAAAAACAAACAATCCAATTAAAAATGGGCAAAGGACATGAACAGAAACTTCTCCAAAAAAGACATAGAGATGGCCAATAGACATATGAAAAGATGTTCAGTGTCACTAATCGTCAGAGAAATGTAAATTAAAATCACAATAAGATATCACCTCACACCTGCCAAAATGGCTATCATCAATAAATCAACAAACAAGTGTTGGCGAGGATGTGGATTAAAGGGAACGCTCATGCACTGTTGGTGGGAGTGTAGATTGGTGCAAGCACTGTGGAAAGCAGTATGGAGTTAGCCCAAAAAATTAAAAATGGAACTGTCTTATGACCCAGTGATTCCACTTCTGGGAATATATCCCAAGAAACCAAAAACAATAATTTGAAAGAATATTTGCACCCCTATGTTCACTGCAGCGTTATTTACATTAGCTAAGATTTGAAAGCAGCCTAAGTGTCCATCAGCAGATAAGTGGATAAAAAAAGCTGTGGGATGTTTACACAATGGAGTAACACTCGGCCATAAGAAACAAGGAAATCTAAAGTCTAAGTGTCTGGGACAAATCAGATATAATTGCAAACCCCAGTGTTTTTACACTCCTGTGCCTTATTAAAATATCCCAAAGGAATGGTATTTTCAGATTGCTGCCACTCATGGAGTTATTGAGATGGAACAATGTAAATCAGCTGTTAACAAATAATATAGGCCTTATAGATACCGAGTCTTAGGGCTGCACAAACAGTACACATTGCGCTTGTGTCCTGTTACGTTCTTTTTTATCTAATTCTTTCAGCTGTTTGTTTAGTCCTTTATTCTTCTCTTTAGAATACTAAGTCTAATATTCCCCAGGTATTATTGTTTTTGTCTTGCCTCTCTGTGGTGCTATTTATTAAAAATCTCATAACAGATATTTCTGTGCAAAGCACTTCCTGAAAATAAAAATTTTCCAAACATTTAAAAAAAAAACAAAAAAAAAACAAAAATCTTATCCGTTGTGACAGCATGGATGAACCTGGAGAGTATTATGCTAAGTGAAATAAGTCATTCAGCCCTGGCCTGTGTGGCTCTATTGGTTGAGCATCGCTCTATGCACTGAAAGGTTACCAGTTTCTTTCCAGGTCAGGGAACATGCCCAGGTTTCGGGTTCAATCCCTGGTTGGGGTGTATTCAGGAGTGAAGTTTCTCTTTCACATTGATGTTTCTCTGTCTCTCTCCCTCTCCCTTTCTCTCTCTGAAATCAATTTTTAAAAATTAATAAAAAAAGAAATAAGCCATTCAAAGAAAGACAACAAGTACCATATGATTTCTCTTATATGTGGAATCTAATGAACAAAATAAACTAATAAAATAGAAACAGACTCATGGGGAGCAGACTGACAACTGTCAGAGGGGGTCGGGAGGGGAGCTGGGTGAAAAAGATGAAGAGATTAAGTGAAAAACAAAAAAACTAAAGAAAAAAACCCCCAACCCTAATAGAATGACAGCAGTATGGTGATTACCAGAGGGAAAGGAGGTATGGGGGCTGGTAAGAGAGGGTAAAGGGAGGAATACTAGGTGTACCAGTTAATAATGTAGATTTTTTTCAATAGATGGAATTACACCATATGTTGATATATATGCGATTTGATATGTATGCTATTTTGTTGTATTGACAAGCTTCAAAACTTCATGTCAAATGTGCTGAAGGTGTTAACATCATAGACATTTTTACGCTTAAAAATGTCATATTTTGTGCCAAAAAAAGAACATTTGCAGGAAGTTTTAATTCATTACTTTATTTTGAAGAAAAAGTTATCGTATACTTCGGGAAGCTTATGGTGAACATGCTCCATCTCAAGATACTTGTGAACACTGGTTTAAACGCTTTAAAAGTGATGATTTCGACGTGAAAGACAAAGAACGTCCAGGTCAACTGAAAAAGTTTGAAGACCAACAATTACAAGCATTATTGAATGAAGATGCGTGTCAAACTCAAAAACAACTTGCAGAAAGATTAAACATTGCTCAGCAAACAATTTCTGATCGTTCACAAGCAATGGGAAAGATTTTAAAGGAAGGAAAATGGGTGCCACATCAACTGAACGAGACAAATGGAAAACCGAAAAGTCATCAGTAAAATGTTGCTTCAACGGCATGAAAAAACGTCTTTTTTGCATCGATTTGTGATTGGCGATGAAAAGTGCATTTATTCTGAGAATCCCAAACGCACAAAATCATGGGTTGATCCAGGTCAACCATCAACATTGACTGCAAGGCCAAATTGCTTCAGAAAGAAGACAATGCTCCGTGTTTGGTGGGATCAGGAAGGTGTATTATGAGCTTCTAAAACCAGGTGAAACTGTTCATATTGATTGCTACTGACAACAAATAATCAATTTGAATCACGCTTTGATCGTGAAATGACCAGAATGTGCCAGAAGACATAGCAAAGTAATTTTGCTTCATGATGACGCACCATCACACACTTCAAAACCAGTTAAAGACACGTTAAAAGCTCTTGCCTGGGAAGTATTAACCCACCCGCTGTATTCACCAGACCTTGCTCCTTCAGATTACCACTTGTTCCAATCCATGGCACTCGCACTTCCTAAGCAGCATTTCAAAACGTACGAAGAAGTGGAAAACTGGGTCTCTGAATGGTTTGCCTCAAAACAAGAAAAGTTCTATTGGGACAGTATTTACAAATTACCTAAAGAGGGGAAATGTGTAGCTAGCGATGGACATTACTTTGAATAAAGCACTTTTGATGTTTCTCTTGAAGTTATCATGTTTTCTTTGATTATAAAATCCGCATTATTAAGTGGTACACCTAGTAAGTGGTAATGGAAAGAGACATGACTTGGAGTGGTGTACACACAATATTATAGAATTGTACCCCTGAAACCTATATACTTTTATTAACTAATGTAACTCCAATAAATTCAATTAAAAATATAGTACATGATGAATGGGGTAAATGATTACTCTGTGCTGTTAAAAATGATTTTAACAAGTAAGAAAGTAAATTTCTAACTTATGCAGGTTAAAAAAGCTTCGGTGTGATGGGACTAGGATAGACTGCAGATTGAATTTGCCTACCTTGCTCATTAGATTTCCTGTCATTTTGGAAACTACTGAAATTAAGGGCATAGCAATTGAATTAAATTGTGTATATTGAAAGAGAACCTATTTCATGCAGTTGAAAACCCCATCTTTTTTTTTTTTTTTGGAATGAGAAAGTCATCCCAAAGACAAAGGGTCTTTAGTGGAGACAGAGCAACAATATTTCCTATTCTTTTCTTGCTCTTGACTTTCGGTCAAATTACAGCGAACAGTTTAAGAAACACTATTTCCTGGTAATGGCGATTCAGGAAATTGGAGAGAAGGGAAAAATGATTAAAGCGATAAGCCAGTTTGCAAGGGAGACGTCTGGAGTCCTGTAATAGCCAGTGAACTAGAAACGCTGGATATTTTTATAGATACAGGCACCAACTAGGGAGCCAGGAGCCAGTGCAAGTTCAGCCAAGGGATGAAGGCAGGCGGGGGGAGAAGTCACCGCAAAAGACCCCAACCCCCTGCAACTGTTTAAAATGTCCATAATATTCAGTATCCGCCCAGAAACACCCTCCCCCACAGCCCTAACAACCCTGCGGGCGAGACAGGCTGCTTTCACTTACTGAGCTGTCCCCCGCCCGACGTCATGCTTGGCTCCCGACCTCCGGCGCCTCCAATGCCGACGGCTCCAGGGATCCCTGGCGCCCCCATCCCCGGCGGGGTCCCACTCTGTCTCTCGAAGTTGCCGGGATTGGAGAAGTAGTCGCGCAGCCGAGGCAGCTCGCGGCCGCTCTCTAACAGCTCGGTGTGCAGCTCCAGGGCGGTCAGCAAGTATTGATCGCGCAACAGCTGAGCTGCGATCGCATCAATTGACAATCGGGCCGGGTGCTCCCCACTGCCCCCCAGTGCCACCGCAGCCGCCGCCTCCCCAGGGAGCACTGGCCGTGCACTGCTCCCTAAGGCCACGGGATCCTGGGGCGATAGCGAGTCCGCAGAGCCAGGATCTAGGTCGCCCCCGGAACCCAGCCGAAGTCCTGCCCGCCGCTCCTCGGTCGTCGCTACCTCGTCGTCATCCTCGTCTGAATCACTGAGAAATGGATTCACGCCGCCACTACCACTGCCACCACCTCCAGGCACCATCGCCGCCATCTTATCCTGTCAGGCGTGTGGGCACCTCCCTGACTGGTTCTGACAGGCCGCAGCCTGAATTCCCCCTCCGCCTCAGCGGGCACTGCGCACCGCCACAGCCCGGGCCTGGCCACGTCCAGCCTCTCCACCTAGAGACCAGGCGTACGCTCAGAAGCAGAAGGTCCAGAGGCAGCAACACCCACTACCTCTGCCGCGGCTGCACCAGCAGCCCGGCTTTGCAGGCGTCTTCCTGGTCTCCAGTCTCGCGAGAAATAGAACGCGTTCCGCCCTCCCCTTCTCCCCGCCCCGTCCTGCGCCCGCCCCACCCCAGCCCCGTAGGTTCACAGAACCCGCCAGCAAAGCCGCTCTTGACTCAAATGCAAAACCCCGCCCCCACTCCTGTTTGATTGGCTAGAGGAACAGGGAGGAGGCGGGGTTACGGAGGACTGGTCTTAGAATTATCGCGAGAACTGTTGCTGGCCAGGTAGGCTTCAGGGGGCGTTCCGTGGTGGAGATGCGTTATGACGGCGACTTAGGAACGTTCTTTTGGCGATCCTTTCAGTGGGCAGAGAACTCTGCCAAGAGTGGAGTCCTGCCTTCGCGCTGAGGTGGCCTCACTCCCGGATCAGGCTTGACCGGGATAAGCCCCAGGTAAAATCCGGGGACCAGTGCACAGAGGTGCGGTGGCACCGAAACTGGTCCCACGCCCGCAGGTCGCTGCCTCTTTAGCTCGCTTCACTTTTTCTTTCTGGTTGCCGCTAATTGGTGGCATTTTCCCTGCATGTGTAGCGGGTCCCCAGGGCAGTAGTTAGAATTTGGCTTCTTTTCTCATACTTCCCTTCCCAGCCATGTGCCTGCTTACCCTGGAGGCCTGGCAACAGCCCCGGCTTCGTGCACTTCTAGGGAGCGCCTTCTCGCCCTCAAGTTAGGCTATAAAACGACAGCGAAGGTGGAGGGGGGCGGAGGGGCATGGGAAGTGCGGAGAGTAAATAGAAAAAGGATTTGCTAGGATCTGTGAATATCCTGATAGCCTCGACTTGTATAACAAGCGGTCGTTAGGGGCTCAATAAACACTTAGAACGTAATACATAATTTGCTCAACAGGGGACCCTTTAGAATATCACATTCAGTCCCATCAAGTAGAAAAATAAGTACATTTAAGCCTAGAAACGTTCATTGACCTGGTCTAGTCAACTCCACTCATAAATATTCAAGGGAACTAAAATCAGTTACCTTCACGTCCGAAGCCATTCTTCTTTGACTATGCCTTGCACCTTGTCCATTTAGGCTGGAGTTCAGGTATTGACAGTGAAACTTAATTATTTTAAAACTTAGAAGCTTTAGACAGCTTTGATTTTATCAAAGGTTAGCACATAAAGGAAGCATACTAAATTTGGAAGTCCAACGTTTGTCTTTTATATCAGTCCTTGATTACAGTTCGAGGTGGTAAAGGGGATATTAGTTTCTAGTCAACAGTATTAGAGTGCTATTCCTAAGAGCTTCTACTTTCTTCACACAGAAATTGCTCCTTTTGCAGGTTTAAGATTTCCTTTCTTTCTGTATAGCTTCCTTTAAGGACCAAAGTAAATAGGTAGCAGTAATTATGTTATCAGATAAGTTACATATTATATCCAAGCAGTAAAGTATCTCCTTTAGTTCTGTGGAAAAATTAAAATAGAGCATTCGTATGTAACCTTAGGCCAGGTTATTGGTTTACATGTAAAGGGATGCCAACAGTTAAATGTAGGCTTTAATTTCAGTTTACCCAGGCGCAGTAAACTAAAATTTTAATTTGAATGAATCTTTTTTTGTTTTGTTTTGTTTGCCAGAAGTTTTTTGGAATTTTAAAAAAATAGAACATTAGGTCCTAATGTTCAAATCCTAAATATTTTTCTGAGACATATATTGAAGAAAAACTCAGAAAAAAAAATCTCATTTTAGGAAAATAGTATTAAAAATAACTAATACGCCGAAACTGGTTTGGCTCAGCGGGTAGAGCGTCGGCCTGCGGATTGAAGGGTCCCGGGTTCGATTCCGGTCAAGGGCATGTGCCTGGGTTGCGGGCACATCCCCAGTGGGGGGTGTGCAGGAGGCAGCTGATCGATGTTTCTCTCTCATCGGTGTTTCTGACTCTCTGTCTCCCTTCCTCTCTGTAAAAAATCAATAAAATATATTTAAAAAAAATAACTAATGCTGTATCCTGTTACAAATATATTTTTTTGTAAGGATATTTTTCCATTGATTTTTAGAGAGAGTGGAAGGAAGGGAGAGAGGCAGAGAGAGAGAAACATCGATGTGAGAGAGAGACATCGTTTGCAGGCGCCCCAACCATGTCCGGGACATGATCGAGCCTGCAACCAAAGTATGTGCCTCGGAATCCAACTGCAACCCTTCTATCAGCAGGCTGACGCTCTATCCACTGAGCAAAACCAGCTAGGTGCAGGGGTGGGCAAACTTTTTGACTCGAGGGCCACAATGGGTTCTTAAACTGGACCGGAGGGCCGGAACAAAAGCATGGATGGAGTGTTTGTGTGAACTAATATAAATTCAAAGTAAACATCATTACATAAAAGGGTACGGTCTTTTTTTTCTTTTAGTTTTATTCATTTCAAATGGGCCGGATCCGGCCCGCGGGCCGTGGTTTGCCCACGGCTGAGCTATGGCTTGTTACGTATTTCTTGACAAAAAGGATTACTAATCCTTATTGTAACTGAGTTTGCCAGAAAGATTGAAAATGGAACCAATTTCTGGAATGGAGTCATGGGGGGATTAGGAATGGCATGGGAAGGACATGATTAGAAATGAATAGTTTATATACAATGTTTCCATCTCTCTAATGGGGAATTTTAGAAATTTCCTGCACTTAAGGTCCTTGAAGAGGATTGTTCTTATCAGATGAAGAGCCCAAAGTTCGTATCCCAGTTGTACCAATAATTTGCGGTGAGACCTTAAAAAAGTTACTTTACTTCTCTCATCTCACACTCATCTATTTGTCAAGGGGATAGTGAAAGCACACAGGATTAGGAATGTGCTGTCACAATGCCTGGTACTTGGTATACCATAAATGTTATTATAGTTGGTTATCAATTAATGTAATATTAGTATATGTTGAAAATATTCGACAGGTTTTTAAAATAAAACAAATATTAACTGGAAAAAACAGTAGGGCCCAAAGGACATAGCTTTAATTTAGGGTCTGACTTCTAAAATATAGGTTGAACATAGATTTTGTTTCCTCAGAGAGTTGTAAGAAGTTGGATGTAGAATTTCTTCATGATTGGCTTCCTGTAAAAATGTAGTTTCCTGATTCTACTTTATAACCTATAATCATGGACTTGTTTATGTGATATTCCACACTCATAACAAATCAACTGGCCAGTCTTCTATGTAAGTACCTTGCTTTTCTACAATATAGAAGTTTATTTATCAATTTAAAATATTAATAATTGCTGGTCTCTACTTAACAATAGTTTATTAGTAATATATTGGGAATATTTTTACTTAGCAAGATTTACATTAATGTAGGTCTTTATAGCTAGTGTTTCATTGAGTAATCAGAATAATCATTGAAGTTTGTATTTTAGTGATGAAAATGTGACAGATTGCTTTTTTTCCCAAGCACTTCAATCTTTTTTGTGTGTAAAAAATTTATTTTGGCTTTAATAGTCTTAAGATATCCATAAGTAAAATTTTAAATGCAAGTTGCGGTTGACTTAAAGTTTTAGAGATATCTAACATTTTATTGTTTTTTAGTGTGTAGTAAGTTTTCCACCAACATAAATTTTTATTGGTACATGGATATGTGTCCTTTAAAATTTAAGTTATTCACTTATTTTGAAAGGTGTCTAAATGATTGAGCCTTTTTCAGTAAAACTGAATAAAATATTCTGTTTGAAGATAATATTAACAATATTACTTAATATTGCTTAATATACATGTGTTGGGACATAATAACATAAGTAGTATGTGAAAGATGGTATTTTGGAATCACTGCAATTTTATGTATAGTAAGTGACTTAAGCATAAAATTTGTGTGTTTTTTCTTTTTTATGTATCCTGAATCTTTACAGTTTTTGTGTTATGTTCTGGAGGCATAAAAAGAGAAGCAAGGTAGCCTCTAGTGGCAATAGTGCGTATTACATGTACCTTTGAAGTGATAATTCTAAATAATTTATTTGGTAAACATTTGAGTCCTTGCTAAGTGCCTAGGACTGTGATGAGTGCTGGAGCAGCCCTGTCTTGCTATGACAAAATTATGGATAAGTGATAGACAGTAATCCAAATAGTCAAAGACTTAGCTATGTAATTATAAACTAAAGTAAAGGTTTTAGTTTCTGATTTGGACTGCATAATCCTGGAAGAAGTGATGCTTGAAAGTACAAGCAGATGCTATGAGACAATGGGGTGAGAGGATGGAGGGTAGGGTGGAAATGGCATTCTGTGAGGAGGAATTGTACCCATGAAGATCTTACAGCAGTAGGAAACATGGGGGTAGTATGTAAGGAAATTAAAAAAGGCCAGTGTGGCGAGGTGCCATAAAGCAAGGGAAGGTGCTATGGGACAAGGCTAGAAAGAGAGGCAGAGGCCAGTCCAGGTAAGACCTTGTTAGTCATATTAAGGATTTCAGTCTTGATCTGGATAGAAGGCACTGAAGGTTTTTATATAAGGGGTGAGATGTTCAGGTTTGCATTTTGAAAAAAGCAAAACAAAAAAATAATATATGGCTACACAGCAGAAGAATAGTGTATAAAGAATAACTGTTAGTTCTCTGATTTACATATCTGGGTGAATGGTGGTGCCATCCCCTGAGACTAACACTAGGGAGTTTGGAGGCTTCCTACCTAAACAAGGCTCATGGCCTGGTGGGGAGTGGGGTGGGCAGTGGAGTGGGGTGGTTGGGAAGGGTGGTAGTTATATCATGGGTGTAGTTTTAAACATACTCAGTTTGCATTTCTTTGAAATATCCAAGTGGATGTGTCAAGGTTGGAGTTATATATATGGATTTGGAGTTATACTTTGTTGAGACTTTTGTATATAGGTGATAACTGAAGCCAGGGTATGATGAAAAATGCCTAAACAGAAAGTATAGAGTGAGGAGAGAAAAGGGCCTACAACCAAGTTTTGAGTAACTCCAAAATTCACTGACCAGATAGAGCCCATTCTACACTGGTCAAAGATATAGCAGGAAAACCAAAGAAGTAATGTTCAAAGAAGCCAAGAAATGAGAGCTATTTTTAAAAGAAGGCATAGCTAATAAAGACAAATGGAATGGATAAGCCATGAAAGACAACTGAAAAAATAGCCATTGGATTTTGCAGTATTCACTACCTTAGTAAAATCTTTCTCTCTGATGTAATGGAAACAAAGACTCAATTTAAGTTGTTTGAGAATTAGATGATTAGGTAAAAAGAGATTGTATTCAGTATTTTCAAGAAGTTTGGTGGTATTAAAAAGAAAGGAACAGTCAGTGCCTTTAAAAAAATTTTTTTTTATTAAGCCTTTATTTGTGAAATGTACCCTTATCATAAATGTGGTTTAATTCATTTTCAGTGCTGCATAGTATTTCATTATGAACTGTCAATGTAAGAGCATACAATCCTATAGAGAATTTTTATTTATTTGAGCCAGAGGATACACCTAGAAGCAAAGTCTTAATCGACTAGGAAAAATGCTGCCTTGAAACAGACATCATGGATAGTTTGCTCTTTGCAGTTAATGGCATACTGTCTTAACAGTATTATTTAAATATTTCATTGCACATTGTTTAGTATCAGACCTGTGACTGTGTCTTCTTGGTGTTCTCTGTAATACCCCTGCACACAGTTATGCACATAATATGTACAAAGAACATTTTTTTTTAATATATAATTTTATTGATTTTTTGCAGAGAGGAAGAGAGAGGGATAGAGAGTTAGAAACATCGATGAGAGAGAAACATCAACCAGCTGCCTCCTGCACACCCCCTACTGGGGATGTGCCCACAACCAAAGTACATGCCCTTGACCGGAATCGAACCCGGGACCCTTCAGTCCGCAGGCTGACCCTCTATCCACTGAGCCAAACTGGTTAGGGCATGCACAGAACATTTTTATTGATTGAATGAGTGTAACCTTCTGCTTGCTTGTTTTGGTGTTCAGGGAACTAAAATAGAGTGTTCCCTTAGTGAGTGCAAATTTTCTGAAGCACAGATAAAATTTAACTACTTTTCCCCCCTATAATTTAGCTAACTGGACAAAAATATATGTTGTCTGCTTAACTTGGTGATAATCAAGAGAAGTTAGAAGTCTGCTGAGCTGATAAGCAAAAGTCGAAAAAGTCTACACACATTTAGATGACGTTAAAATTCTAAGAATATCAATGGCTGTCATATGAGCACCATGAGTTATATTTTCTATTTTATACAGGATTTGGTTTGACTAAACCATACATAACTCAATTTAGGACTCATTTAGTTCTTTCTTTGTTTTTTGATTCTATATTAGTTTTTATGAGCTTAATACACATTTAATTTTATTGTAAATAGTTTATTGGAGTTAATTGCTTATTCTACTTGAATCTTTTCTTTTTGCTTGAGTGTACTTTATTATATATTTTATTTCAGTATCATCTCATTATTAAATAATGTTTATTGTTACCACCAAAAATGAAGTTGAGTTATGTAATGTTTTAAAATATATGTTGTCATCAAGATATGTGAAAATATGTAATTCCATTAAGGTTTACCCAGATTTAATTTTGTTCCTTCTTTCAGCTTTTCTTGAAGATATGCTGCTCTTCTTTATTGTGGGATTGCTCGTACATTTTGTGTTCTTCGCCTCCATCTTTGACATTTATTTTACATCTCCTTTGGTTCATGGGATGGCTCCTCAGTTTACGCCATTGCCTCCTCCAGCAAGGAGACTAGTGCTCATTGTTGCTGATGGGCTGCGGGCAGATGCACTTTATGAATTTGATGAAAAGGGAAATCCTAGAGCACCATTTATTAGGTAAGCATGTCAACTAAACAAAGACATCTCTGGAAAAAGTATGATCTGAACTGATCAAAATGTTTTTAAACAGAGGTATCCAATTCTGTTTAAGTCAGTTTTTGTTATATAATTAAAGAAGTTAAAAATATAATCAATAGTGTTGTAATAACTATGTATGGTGCCAGGTAGGTACTAGACTCATCAGGTGGGTGATTTAGTAGATTATATAAATTCCTAACCACTACACCTGAAACTAACATAAAATAATACCAAGTGTCAACTGTAATTGAATAATTTTAAAAAGAATAAAAATTTGTGAAAAGATACTATGACACTTCATCCCTAAATACTTCAGTATGTATGTTTTAAGAACAAGCACTTTCTCTTACATAACCACAATACCATCATCACACCTAATAAAATTTAACATTGAGAGAATATTATTGTGTATATCAGTTATTTATTATTTAAAAATCATTTCAATACTTTGTGGCTTAAAACAACACTGGTATATTTTGTCTAATGATTCTATACAGTGGTTGGGTGGGTCTTTGTTCATGTACCTGGGCTCACTTATGCTACTGAATCCACTGGTAGAAGGGCTAGGACTGGGCTCAGCTGGGATTAGGATTTTTTCCTTCCTAAATTTTGACTGACGTTTTTTGTTTTGACTCCTTCTGTAATAATCTTATTTTTCCAAAGTCTTTACAGAGCACTTAATTATGTCTATGTTAACTATTCATCTGTAATATCTTTTAGGAATATCATAATGCACGAAGGCAGCTGGGGGATATCTCATACACGTGTGCCAACTGAATCACGGCCGGGTCATGTAGCCCTGATAGCTGGATTTTATGAAGATGTTAGTGCAGTTGCCAAAGGTATTGTCTATTTAGACAATTTCATCCTGTGAAAAATTTATTGAGTAAATATTGCTTCTTTTTTTTTTTTCTTTTTAAATATATTTTATTGATTTTTTTACAGAGAGGAAGGGAGAGGGATAGCAAGTTAGACGAAGGCAGCTGGGGGATATCTCATACACGTGTGCCAACTGAATCACGGCCGGGTCATGTAGCCCTGATAGCTGGATTTTATGAAGATGTTAGTGCAGTTGCCAAAGGTATTGTCTATTTAGACAATTTCATCCTGTGAAAATTTATTGAGTAAATATTGCTTCTTTAGCTCTGAATCATGACACAAGGTGAAGGATGTTTTGAGATACTTTTGACAAATATTTTAATAGGCCTCAGCTAAACACATACTGGTATTGAATCAAGAATTAAGCTTTAGTATTATATCATCCTGTGCTATTAAAATAATGTGATTGGGTGGATCTATGGTTTTCCTAGAAATTAACTCTCAAAGGTTCAAAATAATTCTGTATTTTAGTAAGAAGTAAATTACCTATTGTAAGCTTTAAGAAATTTAACAAAATCTATTACTACTTTTGCATTTGTTGTGCGATTAATTCTCATTGTTATTATTTAAAGGATAGTTCTTTAGGGGCTATACTAATACCTCACCATGTGTATATTGTTTTGTTATTATTTGCTTTTTTTTTCTCAATTACCTGAAGGATGGAAGGAAAACCCTGTGGAATTTGATTCTCTTCTTAATCAAAGCAAGTACACATGGAGCTGGGGAAGCCCAGATATCTTGAGTATGTTTGCCAAAGGTAAGAGACATTGATTATATTTTCTTAGATAGTAAATAGATTAATAAATTAGTATAGTAATTTTTTTATACTATCAATATTTTCTTGATTTTGAGACACATGTTTTAACATATTTAACAGTTCTGAAATAGGGATGTGTGTTGCAATGGACAAACATGTCAATTTGATTTTTTTCTTCTTAGTTGAAATACTGGCACATCATATAATTGGGCAGGCCAAAAAACCTCAAACTGCTTGCCACTTATATACTCTTGAATTCAATGGAATGACATATGGCTCTAACATTCAATAACTTTATAATCTTGGACAAGTTAGATAACTTCTCTGAACTTCAGTATGCATTTTTGTATATATGATTTTTATGTCACAAGTTTGTTTTTAGGATTAAATTAGATAATTCATGTGAAACATTTAGCAAAGTGCTTATCATATAACTCCTCATGATGCTGATGCTGATGTCTGGTTCATTTTACATTGATGAATTACTAAGAAGTTGGTAAAAAAAATTTTTTTAAAGAAATTGGTAGTCACATAAAGATTTAAACATTAACATTTATGTTTATGATTCCTGTTTTGATATATTCAAGATCTTGCCATTTGGATTAGTTTTGTATTTTTTTCTGTGTACGAATCTGCAAGTATTAGAACATCCTTGATTACACAATTTATATTACTTTTTAAAATCACTGGATTTTTTTCAATTTTATGTCATTTAATGCCTTTTAGTGGGAGCAGAATGGTCATTTCACTTAATGAAAACGTTTTGTAACTTATACTTAGTCACGGGTGTAATTATATTAGTTGAAATAATTGAAGATTATTATGTCTTGAAAGCAAAATACATAATTCAGAATTTTATGTATGACATTCATAGAACATTATTATGTAAGGCAGGCCGAAAAACCTCAAACTGCTTGCCATTTTTATAGTCGCTTCTTTGGACAGTAGTTTAGCTTTGGGGAGGACAGGTGGCTTATTTAACTTGCCTTCCTTCTTCTGGCTACAGTTGATAGATAGGGCTAATGCCTGAATTGGAGACAGTCCAATGGCAGTGTTCCCTTTCTTATAGTAACCAACAAACCAACTCAGATTTTTACTTAGGATGTGGGAATTAGAATGGCTGAGCAGTGGAATAACTCGTGTCAATAGGACTAAGCTGACATTGTAAGAGATTGTCATTACTTTGTTTTATCTCTTCCTTCTAATCTGTAAGAGCCTATCTAACTGAGCCTTCCTTCTTCTGGCTACAGTTGATAGATAGGGCTAATGCCTGAATTGGAGACAGTCCAATGGCAGTGTTCCCTTTCTTATAGTAACCAACAAACCAACTCAGATTTTTACTTAGGATGTGGGAATTAGAATGGCTGAGCAGTGGAATAACTCGTGTCAATAGGACTAAACTGACATTGTAAGAGATTGTCATTACTTTGTTTTATCTCTTTCTTCTAATCTGTAAGAGCCTATCTAACTGAGAAACTCATTAAGTTGATTGGATTCTTTATAAGATATTGCAAATGTATAACATTAATATATTTGTTTACCCTGTCAAGCTGTTTGCCTATAAGCAATGTCTATTCCCCAATATTGAGAAATATACACATAATCTTTAAATAAGAAAAGTGACTATTTGCATTTTCTTCTTGCTTTGGGTAGTTTTGTAGACTAAGTGAATTCATCTATTTTAAAGTATAACATTCTAACCAAAAAATATTTTGAATAATTTAATCCTTATAGGGAGACAAACTTTGGTGTTTATTTTTGTGTATTAGCGTTGTCACTTTGGCAAGTAAGTTAACTTACATGTAGTGTATCTGTAAAATTGGAATATCTTGTGAGAACAAAGTAACAGCATGTATTAAAGTACAAAGCATGGTCCATGGTACATAAAAAAAATGTTAATTATTCCTCCCATCTTTCTCTTTCCCATCATAATCTAAAATGCTTTGTGAAAAATTCTAGTTACTCACAAAAATCTTTAAATGACTACTCCATATTTCTAACAGTTTAAAAAATTGTTTAAAAAAATTTCCCCCAATTTTTTTTTCAGGTGCTTCAGGAAACCATGTTTTTACACATAGTTATGATGCTGACAGTGAGGATTTTGGTGCCAAGGATGTAACAAAACTGGATACATGGGTCTTTGATAATATTAAGGTGCGTAAATAAATAGCGTGTTATTGAGTGGTTAATGTACAAGACACATATTTCTACCTAAATTACTAGAAACAGATTTGTCAGTAAATACATCTTGTATTTGTGTGAACGTAAAAGTTTTATATTATAGCACACTATTTTTAAAAGACTGGATTCTAAGAAATTAAACATTCTACAATAATCAGTTAATAGAAGTTTAAAAAATAATTTTAAAAAGATAACCTTTTTAAACTACGTGTTTAAGATAGTAAAATGAGCCCTACATTTGGAATTCAGTTAACCTATATTTTATTCCTACTCTGCTGAATCATCTGAGGTGTAAACCTTAACCAGTTTCTTACAGTGTGGCAGCCTATGAGATGTGTGGGAGCCTCTTGAAAAATGCTGTTTAAATGTAATGCAATTATAACACTAGAGGCCCGATGCATGAAAATTCGTGCAAGAGTGGGCCTTCCTTCCCCGGCTGCTGAGACTGGCTTCCCTCTGGCAGCCGGTAGGCAGCAGGCACCCGGGACCCGAGCTTCCCTTCTCTGGCCGCCGGCAGGCACCTGGGACCTGGACGGCTTCCCTCCGGCCCCAGCTTCGTCCCTAAGGATGTCTGTCCGGTCTAATTAGCAATTACCCTTTTATTATTATAGATGAAGTAGATGCTTTTAAAAATTTTTTACTTTAAAAATAATTTTACTTTAAAGAAAAATTAGATAAGTAAAACCAAATTAGCAAATTAATCATAATAAAATGTTTATGCGTTTTTGTAAGAAATAAGAGTTTTTTGACTATTTGATAGGGACAGTTATCACAGTTTCACCAGGAATCCAATTAAAATTCATCAAAAATTGTGGGAAATGGTGACTATCGGCTCTCTCCTTTCGACTAATCCATTGTTTCTCATCCTCAAATTATAACATAATTTATTTGTTGTATGAAGCTTTCATTGATTTATCCCTAATGCTTCTTCTTTTTACGAGTGATGTCTTTTGAACTGACATTGTGGACTTCATAATGTAGTTATTTTTGTTCATTTGTTTATAAATATGTGTTTCTAAATATGTGTTTGCATTTGTCTTTATATTTACTTCACAGGAATTAAGTTCATTCACATTGAATCTTTTTGCGTTTTAAAACTCAGTTTAATACATCATCTCTTCTATTAGGTTTTCCCTGACTTCTCTTTGCTTCACCTCACTTCCCATTCCATTTACATAATAACCCTCTTCTGTGTTCCCTTAAGGCCACTAGTACTGTTTTATTTTTGGCTCTTGTCAAAATATTTCTTCAGTCTTCTATGTATTTCTTATTTATTGATTTTAGAGAGAGAGAGAGAGACATCAATTTGTTGTTCCACTTGTTTATGCATTCATTGGTTGCTTCTTGTATGTGTCCTGACTGGGATTGAACCCGCAACCTTGGCATATTGGGATGACACTCCAACCAACTGAGCTACCCACCTAGGTTCTATATTTTATTCAATATTATGAGATTTTTATGAAATCACATCTCCTTTCTATAACCTTTTCTTGGCCACAAAAAAATAGCTTATTTCCTGTTTGAACATAGATGTCTAAAATGACAGAAAGGACCTTGTAGTGGTAGGCCTGAGGACAAATGTAAACAAAATAAGATAATTTTATAATTATGTATAAATTTAATTAAATGTTCTTATCAGAATTATTTTATAAATAAAATAAATGAACTAAAATTTTTAACTGATTTGTTACATATAGGAATTCTTTCATGCTGCCAGAAACAACCAATCTTTGTTTTCTAAACTAAATGAAGAGAAAGTAGTTTTTTTCTTACATCTATTAGGAATAGATACAAACGGACATGCTCACCGACCCACATCAAGGTAATTTTAATGCTGTGTTTAATTTCTTGTTTTTGTGGGTAACAACCATTTTGTTTGAACTTTTAAAGTAGTATAATTTTTTTGTGATTATCACAACAGATATATTTTAAATAACTCTAACGTAGAATAAGTTCTCAATTATATGAGCTATAGATTGATATACTATAGAAGCTAAAATCACATGTGCTGTGGCCAGACTGCACATTAATATAAGTAAAATATATCCTGTATTCTTCATGTATCAAGGCAGAGAAAAAAAATATGTATTTTAGAAATTCAGTAAATCTTGAAATCAAAGCATTTTTATGGAGTTAATATTTATATCACAAAAAGATGTAATTAGCTATTCCTTATGTACTCCATTTAATCAGTATTATAGCTAGCAAATAATTGTATAAAGTTTTGTATACTATATTTCAGTTGCACTCCTTATCTAGAACAGCAAATATTTTTTTCACTTTGTAGACCATAAGAAAGGGGAAAAATCCATGTTGTTATTATTTTTTAATATATTTTTATTTATTTCAGAGAGGAAGGGAGAGGGAGATAGATAGAAACATCAGTGATGAGAGAGAATCATTGGTTGGCTGCCTCCTGCACACCCCCTACTGGGAATGGAGCCTGCAACCCGGGCATGTGCCCCTGACTGGAATCAAACCTGGGACCCCTTAGTCCGCAGGCCAACGCTTTATCCATTGAGCCAAACCAGCCAGGCCTCATGATATATTTTTATGCTTTATTTCAAATTTGGTTTAGATTAGTCTAACTGTAAAGCCTATTGGTTAGCTGTCCATAATTGAATACCTCATGATCCCCTTTTTTCACCTGCTGCACTGTTTTAACTGATAGTTCGTACCAAACCAGCCTGTTCAAGCAGCCTTGCCAGCCTAGCCATTTTTAAGTGTACATGTATGGAAGCTTAAGTATAATTTGTTCAAAACATATTTGAAATGGTAGGACATCATTTTATAATATATTATAACATTTTATATCACAGTCTAAGGAAAAATTCTACACTTGAAACAGTTATACTTACCTGTTGTGACAAGGACAGTATAGTTTGCATTATGAGATACATGAACTTGAAAAGCATCATTATTGCATTTGAAACTTAAAAGCATTCATTACAATGTATTTGCTAATCAGTACCCTCCTCTTAAATAATTTCTGAGCAGTATTTTGCTTCTTTAAACAGAGAAAACATTATTTTTAACAATCTGAAGAGTTCTGATTTTAAACTGTTAAAGATGAAATCTAAAGTATTTCAGGGGTTACTAACTTTGAATGTCATGAGTTCATGTTAAATAAATTTGATTTTTCCAAATTAATGTAATTTAATTTCTTCTTTTGTGTCTTTTTAAACAGGGAATATAAGGACAATATTAAACTAGTTGATGAGGGAGTTAAAGAAATTGTGTCCCTGCTTAAAGATTTTTATGGAAATGATGAGAAAACGGCATTTCTCTTTACCTCTGACCATGGAATGACAGACTGGGGTTAGTCTGTCTTTAATTAACTTATATTCTATGATTAAAATAGTGGTAAATGGAGCTTGCAGATATAATGTTGAGGATTACATGTCTTAATGGGTGCAAAGTGTCTAGCATATAAATGTATGCTTAAAATTTAAGTGTAAAAAGTTCTGAACTTATATAAAGCATCTTCTAACTATAGAAGTAATATATTCTCAAAATGAGAAATTAGAGGAAAGTAGGGAGGAGAAAATAAAAAGTACTATAGGATTAACTGTACATGATGGCGTAGGTGGCGAGGTTAAGGTGGTACTACTGAGGGACTTTGGACTACTGAAAATCCACTCTACATGATCCTGTCCTCCCTGTGAGATTCCCAAGGCAAACACAGTGTGTGCACAGAGAACAAAATGAGGCAAAGAATGTTCGGGTCCCCAAATCACAATATGGAATTCTTGCGAGCTGGTTCCACTTTATAAAGGGCTTTTGGCTGCACCAGCCAGAGTAGCCTGGAAGAAAAATATCTAGAGACTTTGCCATGCTCTTGAGAATAGCTCTGGTCTCAGCTACCTGCCCCAAACCTGGCTCGTGACTCCCCAAAGGCAGAGCTTTCCCTGTTCTTTCTGCCTTCGGAGCCACTCTAGTGGCATCTCCTCCAAGCCTTACTGTTATATTCTTCTTTCAACCAGAATCACTCAACAGACATTCTGCCCTTTTTAGTTTGTTCATTTGTTTATGCCTTTTTGTTATTGATGCTCTGACTTGCTGTGAGAATATTTTAAAACTAATTGTTATACAGAGTTAGTTGCAAGCATTTGGGAGTGTGGTGACTAAAATTAACTATAGATGGATTAACTTTAAGTAGTTAAAAAATAAATATTTAGGTATAAGTCCATATATACTGGTCTTATGTCCTCTTTGTAGGTTCCCATGGGGCTGGTCATCCTTCAGAGACCTTTACTCCTTTCGTTGCTTGGGGAGCTGGAATCAAGTATCCCCAAAAAGTATCAGATCAACAGTTTAATGATGTGCTTTTGAAAGGTATAAAAATGAATCTTTATTGTTTTTATAAATAGGACATTTTAAAATAAAACCAAAGTTTAATTTTTTAAAATCACTTTCAAGTTGTAGTTTTCTTTTTGATCTTGTGCTTCTACTATTTCTATGTATTACTTTTGTATGTTCATATTATTTGGTTTACAATATTCAGCTTGAAATACACAGTCTTAGTCATTTGCCTTATGAAAGTTTAAGTACAAATTATACTATTGCCTTTTTTCCATATGCCTTATTTATACTGGCATGTAGATTAAACCTTGAGTCAAATCTAATTTGCAGATAAATCACGTATCATAATTGATCTTTCACAACTGGTACTGTTGTGAAACAGTACCCTGTTTCTAGTACTTTTGAAGTCCCTCTGTGTTGCCCAAACCTCCTTTACTTCTCAATCCATGAAGAAAAGGAATGCCTTTTTCCTGGAGCTCTGCTTATTTTGTCAGGTAAGGTTTTATTCAGAGTTCCAAAGTTTTTACTAATTGGACAAAACAAATTGCTCTCAAATGTCTTACTTTGGATTAGTTGTATCAACTCATCCAAAGCTCTATTTTGTTGAAAATATAGATTTTTTTTTAAAATACAGATTTCCAGACTTTGTAACTAGACATTTTGATTCCATGAGACTGGGTGAGACCTATAAGTTTTGTTTTTAAAACCTTCTCCAGGGTTTCAGACTCAAGCTGTGTGCAGGTATTTTTACCATGGAAAACTCTTTTTTATTTGTATATTAAATTTCCTTAGATGCTTTCTTTCTTTTTTTAATTTATTTTTTTATTGAGATATCATTCTCATACCATAAAATTCACATTTTAAAATTGTACAATGTATTCTTTTGAGTTTATTAACAAGATCATGCAATCACCTCTACTATCTAATTATAAAATATTTCATAAACTTCCCCCCAAGAAAACTCCATTAGCTGTCACTCCTTCTTTCTCCCTCTTCTCCAGCACCTGGCAACCATTAATCTATTTTGTATCTGTGGATTTGCCTATTCTGGATATTTCATATAAATGGAATCATTCACTAAATGGTTTTTTTGCACCTGGTTTCTTCCACATGGCATAATGTTTTCAAGGTTCATCTATGTTATAGCATGTATCTGTAGTATATTTTGTATAGCTGAATAATAATCTATTGCTGTATGTATCATATTTTATTTACACAGTCATCTTCCGGACATTTGGGTTGTTTTCACATTTTTGACTTTTATGATAATGCTGCCATAAAGATTTGTGTGAAAGTTTTTGTGTGGACATGTGTTTTAATTTCTTTTGGCTGGATACATAGAAATGGAATAAATGGGTCATATGAAACTCTATGTTTAATGTTTTGCAGAATGCCAAACTGTTTTTCAGTGCAGTTGCGTTATTTTATATCCTGTGCTCTGTGGTAACTGTGTTAGATTGAGTCTAAATAGAAGCTAGGTTAAATAGTATGTTTGTATTTAGGAGATAGAACTGTACTTTGGCATTTGATTTCTCAGTGAATTAATGTTTTAGAATTGCAGGCTTCAAGAATCATTACAGAAAAAAATGTAGTTTTTCTTATATGACTATTAAGTATCATAAGTTACAGAGACAAGGAATATTCTTTTTTTCTTCATCAGGTGATTAGTGTGAAGTTTTAGTAGCTGACTAGTAGAAGAAGGAACATATTTTAAACTTTATTAGCTTATTAAAGGAAATTTCATCATAAAAATATCTTAGAACCCTTTTGGTAATATGTATATCATAATGCCATTAAATCAAGACATAGTCTCATAATCATTTTGGTTACTGCTTATTGAAATTTCTGAATTTACACATAGAAAGATAGAGGGATAAGGTTATCTTTGAAGGCAGTTTTAACAGTAACTTATTATACTATTTTAAAATTTGGGATTAATGGCGCATCATAGCTACAATTTTAAGTATTTTGCAAGCAACTGCCATTACAGAAAAAAAGGTAAACTTAGATTGACTAATGGACTACCAATGCCTTAATAACCTCCTGGAACAGGATTGTAATTTATTGTAGGCATGCTAACAGTTGTTATCATTGTGCCTTTTAGTTCCATCGTTCCTTCCTTAGCCTTTTGAAATTTTGAAACAGTTATCTCCATATGAAGTTTAATAAATTATCACAGGAAACACCAAATGTTTACTTTTCAGTTTTTCTTTTAAAATTCTCATTTTAAAAATATACAGCTCTGCCTTTTTAAGCATCCAATTTGGTTCATGCTGCCTTAAAATAGACTTTTCTAATACTTTCGTTTTTCATCAAGCATTGACTACTCATAATAATGAAATGATCCATTCTTTTTTTCATCTGAACATCAGCTTTTGTGTCTAATGGTGTCTGTTTTTCAGGATGGAAATTGGAGTCCTGGAAGAGGCAAGATATCAATCAGGTATTCATCTCAACTTAATCATGTTCAAATTTACTTTATCTTCTATAAGAAGGTTAGACCAAAAAGAGCCCCTGAAAAACCATGTATTAAAAATAATGATAATAAATGATCTTTCAAAACATTTCAATTACCAAGGGAAGTCCTTTCAGTGCAAATATTTTAACCCAACTAATCTTTCTTTTGACAAAATATAAAAAGCCTCAAGTAAAACTAAAAGGAGAAGACTCCCTCCAAGTTATACTGGCTAATTAAAGAATTATATGTAAATTGAAATTGCATGCCTGTTAAATTTCTGTGATTTCATGGTTGCCTTGCTTAGTTGCTTTGAGCATAAATCTAATAAAACCTCATTATAGGTTTCTTTCCTGTAGTACGCCAGTTACCGTTTCTTTTTTATTAATACATATTTTAGATTAGTAACATAATCTGTAAATGGGAAGTACAGAATTTTCATTGTTGAATATATGCTATGTACATAGCCATCTTTGCTGTTTGTAGAAAGCATGGCATCACTGATACATGGCCTCCGAAGTGGCAGGAAGATCTGACCTTCTCCAGGTCTGCTCTCAAGCTGACATTCCTTACTGTGGTGGATAAACCAAGGTCTACTCTAGATAGTGATGGCGAACCTTTTGAGCTCAGCGTGTCAGCATTTTGAAAAACCCTAACTTAACTCTGGTGCCGTGTCACATATAGAAATTTTTTGATATTTGCAACCATAGTAAAACAAAAACTTATATTTTTGATATTTATTTTATATATTTAAATGCCATTTAACAAAGAAAAATCAACCAAAAAAATGAGTTCGCGTGTCACTTCTGACATGCATGTCATAGGTTCACCATCACTGGTCTAGGATCTCCTTTTCAGGCCTGTGGTTACAGAAGCCTGTTCTTCAGCATATTAAGAATGCTCTCTTCTATCCGGATGGTCATTTATTACCCAAATAAATGAAAATATTTACAATCAGGATAGCAGTTTATTCATTTGCAATAAAAATAACTGTCAAAGGGATAGGATAACTTGAAGATCATAGAACAAGAGCATGTTTTTCTTATATCCAGGCTGGGTTATAATAAAAAACTGAATATAGGTTCAACTATTGCTCTTAGTAATCCTACTTCAGGTCTACATTAGATGAGAATTTCTCTATTCATTACTTCCATCAACATTGTTATGTGTCTGCAGTATTGTTTAAACATTGTGCAAACATTATTAAACAATGTGTCAGGGATATAATGGTAAGTAAAAGCAGATACTAATCAAATTATTATACAAATAAGTATAAACTTATAGCTGTGGTAAGTACTACAAAAGAGGCCTGTGAAGCCATGAGAGCATAGAACTGATGTACAGTAGTCCACCCGTATTCATGCTTTTGCTTTCTGTGGTTTGGGAAAGCCCATGAAGTGTTTGAATCCTAGAGAGTGACATGATCTGCTTCTTTGTGAGGATTTTTCGGGCTGCAGCATGGAGAACAGATGAGAGGAGGCCTGCGGTGGATTCCGGGGGAAGGGGAGAAGGCGATTGGGAGGCCATTGGAGTTTGCCTGTTTTACGTGGGGTGGTACTTAGTAAAGAGAGTCCAGGTGGTAAAAAGTGAGAAGGATTGAGAACCTGGGACCAAACTCCTACTTTAAATAGGGGACTAGAGAAATGAGCTACAGTGAGATGGAAGACACTCAGGTGAGTGTGGTACCGAGGCCAAGAAGGCAGTGGTCTACGCAGTGCTGCTGAGAGGTCCATTAATTATAATAATCTCCACAGCGTGTGTAGCCACCAGTTATTGCAGGATTATTTTGTGCCAGGTACTTCATAAATTTAATCTCATTTAATCATGCTGCAACTCTGTAAGGGAGAAACTTACATTTATTTTTTAACTGATAAGAAAACAGGCATCAGAGAGGTTAAATGACTTGCCCACAGTCTCAGAGATTACAAGCAAGGATATGAAATTGGGCATTCTGACACCTAAGCACTTTACTGCCTAAAAAATTATAAGGACTAATAGAGTGGGCTCAGGAGTGATGGGGAGGTAAGAAGATGGAGATAGAAAGCATGAACAACTTCTGGGAAACGACTTGAAAGGGAGCTATCTAAAACGGTATGGGTTTGTTTTTGTTTTTTTGGGGGGTGGTGTTGTCTAAAGAACCTTTTATCTGGTTTATTTGTTTTTTGGTGTGGTTTGTTTGTTTTGTGTGTTTTTTTGGACTTTTGGTCGGCCAAACCTCCTTCTGATACATTCCTTCTTTAGTTCATATATATACTTCTCCAGTGAAAGTCTACTATTGCTATTTATTTTTTGTCTAATTAAGGCAGCCTTTCATAATACTGAAAATCTATTACATAAAGTGGTCAATTTCTAGCTACTAGGATAGGTAACTTTTTGCTTAATATGTTTAACATTTGGAGCTTTTAATGGTTTCTTTTATAATTTAGTTTTTCATGAAGTCATGTACTTCTAACAAATGACATTTTTAGAGATCGGTATCTAATGTGTATTAAATGTTTGAAGATAACAGATTACAACAAACATGCAGATTATATTACAGAATAGTTGCCTTAAATTATTTTTCTTGTTGATGTTTGTAGACTTCTTAAAATTGAACTTTTTCTGTTTGTAGGCTGATGTTGCACCATTGATGGCTTCTCTTATTGGAGTTCCTTTTCCTCTCAATTCAGTGGTAAGGGACAACATTTTCTTAACAACTCTCAGAATAAAAAAATACATTGTACAGTAAAATTTACTTTCTATATGTTTCTGAATAATCTTTGATTACATTTAAACTGTATTTTCCTATTTCTTCCTAAATATGTAATACCTTTTCTACAACATGGAATATAAGCCTAATAACATTTCTTTACAATTTTTTTCTTAAAATGTTTACAAACTTATATTTGTAATTTAGGGTTTTAAAAGAGTATTTTATTTATTGATTTGCAAGAGAGAGAGAGAGACACACACATTGATTTGTTGTTCCACTTATTTATGCATTTATTGGTTGATTTTTGTATGTGCCCTGACTGGGGATCGAACCCACAAACTTGGCATATTGAGATGATGCTCTAACCAACTGATCTACCTGGCCAGGGCCTATATTTGTTGCCGGAAGCCGGTCCATCCTTGCTGCTTGACACAGTCACTGCAGGAAAGAAACATCTGCACAGCATATGTTTCAAGGGACCTGGCATATATAGCATACTGTTCTTAATATGTTTGCTCCCTTTAGCGCCATGTGTTTTAACCAAGGTCACCTCTCCGAGAAAGGTTGTTTCCCCAGGTGGGGATCTTTCCCTGAGGTTAGGGAGGGGATACAACCCCTTAATTAAGTGCCAGGCGGGTAGTTAAGCTACATAATCTTTACTCCCTGGAATGGAGATAAGAAACGCCCTAACCTTTGTAATAGAAATTGACAGGTTTAAAATCGGCTGGTATAAATACGGATGTAACAAGACATTAAACATCAGATCCTCATCAGATCCTCATCAGCTCCTAACCAGCTCCTAACCAGAACTCCGACCAGAACTTTGGCTGGAGATCCTGGCTAGAGGTCCTGACTAGGCTGCTGATCAACTGAAGGCTACTGATCAACTGGGCAGATCTTGGCTGGAGAACCTGGATAGAACCTGGAGAACCTAGACAGAACCTAGAGACAGGACTTGGCTGGAGATCCTAGACAGAACCTAGAGACAGGACTTGGCTGGAGATCCTAGACAGAACCTAGACACAGAACCTAGGGACAGAACCTAGGGACAGAACCTGGACACAGAACCTAGGGACAGAACCTAGGGAGAGAACATGGCAAAAGATCCAGGACAGAACCTGGCTACAGAACTTCGCTGGAGATCCTGACCAGAACTTGGCTGGAGATCCTAGCCAGAACTTCGCTGGAGATCCTGACCAGAACTTGGCTGGAGTTCCTGGCTAGAGATCCTGGCTAGGCTGCTGATCAACTGAATGCTGTCTCCGTGTCATTCCTTCTTCGCCGACTCCGTCCACACCTTTGGGGACCCCTGGACCTGCTGGGGCTGGACCCCAACAATTTGTAACTTAGTTTTAAGTGATGAAAACAGATAAATACTTTTTGTTTGTAAGCAACGGAGACTGGATCCATTTAAAGGAAATGTATTTTAAAGATATTGGTGGTTTGTTGATCCAAAGGGGTATTCAGAGACCAGGCTTGGAAATGAATAGGAACCAAGAGAGCTCTGGAGAATTGGAAGAAAGAACCAAGCCAGAGTCTACACTGGGGTAGACTAGCATTACCCCTGTCATACTTTTGTTCCTTGACCTTCGAGTCAAAACTATTTGAGTCATCTAGCCTGGGTTATTAGTCTACCCTTCAGTGAGGGAGGCAGAGCCCCATTGGAGACCCATTACACTGTATCCAATGGGGGAGATCTCTCCACATAGAATGGTAATACTGCTAAGAATCCGAAAAGCCAAAAAACAAACAACAAATCTAATTTAGAATGCTGAGTAATGTGAGTTCTAGCGTCGTGTGTGTGTGTGTGTGTGTGTGTGTGTGTGTGTGTATTTTGGGTAAGTGAAACAAAAGCTTCACAAAGTAATCCTTACTCTTATATGCACAATATACTCTCATACTTCTTACTATGTCTTTATTTCCTTTTTCCATAGGGGTATTTTGCATGTGTAAAGCACTTAATTCACTGCCTACCACATAGTAATTTTTTCATAAATGTTAGGTTTTATTGAACTTACTGAATTCATCTCCTTTGCTTTATTTATTATTACTTTGCAAGAAAAATAATCGAACACTTTTCAGTTATGGTTTAAAGTAAGATTTTTTTTGTTTTATTATTCCAGTAATTTATTTGTTCATATGTTTTGTCTTCATTGCTTCCTTTGTAAGTTTATTTTGTTTTATAAGAATTGCCTGAGCTTTGTTAATACTAATATTAAACCAGTATTTATTATTTATAGGGAATCCTTCCTGTGAATTATCTTAACAACACTGATGCCTTCAAAGCAGAGAGCATGTATACAAATGCAAAACAGATTCTTGAACAATTCAAGGTAAAGTAAGACACACAAAAAATGGACACTGCTACAATTCCTAAATTGAATATATTAACTGAAGAGATTTGAATTGTGTTTTAAGAAATGATTTTCTATAAGTTATTATCTTTGAATTTTATGTATTTGTCTAGCATCAGAGTTTCACATTTCTGAGATGCAGCATCCATGAATGAGTATGAGAGTGTAGAACTACCTTTAAGGGGTCTCTAATTGTAAGATTATTACATATGCTTATAAAGACTACAAACCAAGTCTTTATTAATTGGAATTTGCCCCCATCGAAGTAGCATTAGTGATTGTAACATTTCCAGTCATTCCTGTACATTATTATATTCATTAAGAACTTCACTGTTTAATTGAAACTTTCTGTTATTCTTAAAACAGTTAGTGCAGCTTGGCTTATTGTTTTCTAAGAGTTCAAGTAGAATACATTACTGAAGTTCTTTTGCAGACTTGATATTCTTAATTCTCAGTTTATTGTGATAGAATGATAATAAATTTTTTAAAATATTTATGAAATAATATAGTAACACAAAATTCTATTTATCTTCAAAGTAGTTAACCATCCCTGAAGACCCATTTTAATAGATGTTTATATTTCAAAATGAAATTAGTTAATTTTTTCTCATTTATAATAAAATAAAATATTTTCATACTTGGTTCCCAGGTGAAAATGACTCAGAAAAAAGAAGTTACTTTACCATTTTTGTTTACACCATTTAAGTAAGTATATTAATTAGCTTATAGGAAAGAATTTTTCAACGAGTTTAAATGCTGACAGAATAAATTACTTAGAAACCTTGTGGTTTTTGTGCACATTAGTGCAGACTCCAAAATGAAAGTCTCATCTATTGTTTTTGTAAGTAATGAGCCAGATGGTAACTAAATATTTTTGTATGACTGGTAGAGAGTGCAGAGAGATATGGGAAATAAGGAGATAAATTCAACTATGCTTGACTGGGAAGGTAGGGGGACTCTTGGCTTGGCTGACTGGGAAGGTACTGGTACCATTTTGGTTTATAGGAAGAAAGAAGAGCTGGTTTGAGAGGCAGGGATGAATGTTCAATTTAAAATTGAAGACATCAATGAAATAGGGACGTGCATCTCAAGATAGAAATGAGAGTTGATTGTGAAGATTTTGGAGCCATCAGCATAAAGATGGTGGTGGAAACTGTTATATATGTAGGAGCTTTAGGCAGAAGGTAGAAAGTGACAAGAAAAGGCCAATGATGCAATTCTGGGAAACATTGACAACTATTGGTGGCAAAGAGGAGAGCAGACTTTAATGGGCAGCAGATTTTGCTATCTTAGATCCAAGAAAGACATATTTTCCTTGAACCAGGAATGGTGAGAGTTGAGTCATAAATCTGGCTTTGTAGTACTGACTTGGGCAGGTTTGTTCAACCTCCTTGAAGTTCGTTTTCAATTAACAGGGATTTGCATATAATTGGAAGAATTTTGCTCTTGACCAAAATAAACAAATTGTTTGAAATATGGGTGTTAGGGATATGATTGAATGACTTACTGGAATTATATTTAACAACTTATGTAGCATGAGTATGGTATTTATAAACTAGAAATGCTTCAATATTGCATTGCCCTGTGAATAATGTGACTGTATGCCTGACTGTGTGTGCGAGGAGGGGGTGGGGGAAGGTGACAAAAACAAAGCATAATCATGACTTGCAAGTTATGATCATATGCAATTAATTACCCTTATTTTTTTAAACATATATCAAAAGTAGATTTACCTTTGAGGAATGTCCCTGATTATGAGTATTACATATGCTTATAAAGCCAAGTCTTTATCTCTTAGAATTTGCCCCATATTATATCATATATATGTATCATATGCATCTGTTTATTTATAATGTAGTGTTATAGTCAGACCATAACAAAATAAATTAATGAACAAGAAATATATTATCAATTTCTGGTATGAAGAAAATACGTAAGACATTGAACTGAGAATAACTGAGAGTTACTTTAGCCCAGCCACTTTAGAAAAAATGGTCAGGGAAACACTCTTCTCTAAGAGGTTCAAGTGCACACTACCCGCCTTCTTTTACTCAGCTTGCTGACTCACCATGCACTTGCTCTGCTTTTATGCTAAATATCTGCCTACAGAGCCACTGCTCGCTTTGTGTCATTTCTGGGCTCAGTAGGATAGCTGATTCCCGCTCACTGGTTCACCCACCCTAGAGCAAAGCTACTGGCTCTGCCTGTAGACTTGAAAATCGCCATTTGTTGAAAGCCTGCCATATAACCAGAAAAACCTAAGATAATATGAATAATAGACTTTTTTTGTTGTTGTTAATCCTCACCCGAGGATATTTTTCCATTGCTTTTTAGAGAGAGTGGAAGGAAGGGAGAGAAACAGAGGGAGGGAAACGTGGATGTGAGAGAGACACATTGATTGGTTGCCTCCCACATATGCCCTGACCTGGGGGACCTGGGACCGGGAATTGAGCCTGCAACCGAGGTATGAGGTACGTGCCCTTGACCGGAATCGAACCAGGGACCCTTCAGTCCGAGGGCTGATGCTCTATCCATTAAGCCAAACCGGCTAGGGCAAGAGTAGACTCTTGAGGAAATAGATTATTTAAGGAACAGAAAAGAACTTATAAATATTAAAATCCTCAGCAATATCTGATTCACTATTGTATCCATAAAATAAAAATCAGCATAAACTTTGCAAAATGAGAAAGAGTACAGAATGCTTTTTTTAAAGGGGTAATGCAACTAAAAATTTAGGGAATGTTAAACTGTACAAGAACAGTCCAAATGGGAGGCAAGTCCTCCAGATTAGAATAGGAAGTGAAATGATTTTAAGTAATATATGGATTGAATAAGGAGCTAGGGGAAACACAGTGACTTACACAGAAGGAATACATTTCTTCATCCTCAAAAATAATGACAATTGGAAACTTCAGGGTGTACATTTCAAAGTGTACAAGGAAGCGTGCTTTAATTATGAAGCAACCTAAGATGTGACATGACTGAACAGTTGCAGAGTATCAGAAAGGAAAGTCATTTGAACATTGGCACATGGATCAAGGAAATCTAATTATAGTTTGCTACTCAGTGAACAGTATTTAAATAATCGTAATGTAAATATTGGTTTTCAGTTTTTAAAGTCAAACCTTAGACAAAGTAAGGAAGACTTAAGATTACAGAATAGAATGCAAATGTTACCAACCTTGACAATGTACAGAGTTACAGGTTGGAAGGCTGAAGGGGAAAGAAATGTAAATAGAATGGTAGTGATTCTGTTGTCTTCATAAAATAGAATTTGGAGAGCCAGGCAGTAGGTTAGAGAATAAGACAGATTATTAAAGTGACCAGCATAACCCTACCTGGTTTTGCTCAGTGGATAGAGTGTCGGCTTGTGGACTGAAGGGTCCTGGGTTCGATTCCAGTCAAGAGCATGTGCCCGGTTGCAGGCTTGATCCCCAGTAGGGGGTGTGCAAGAGGCAGCAGATCAATGATTCTCTCTCATCATTGATATTTCTATCTCTCCCTCTTCCTTCCTCTCTGAAATCAACAAAAATAAATAAAGTGATCACCGTAGCCAATAGAGGAGGCAAAAATAGTAATATGACCATGTTGAAGGGGGAGGAGACAGTAGGAACAGCTAGTCAATGGAGAGTCAATAAAAAGTATCTCAGGTCATCAAATCAAGAAATAGTAATAAAAGCATATTATTAAGGCCTTGGCCGGGTGGCTTGGTTGGTTGGAGCATCATCCCCTGCATCAAAATGGTTGTTCGATCCCCGGTCAGGATGCATACAGGAGACAACCAATCAATGTTTCTCTCTCTCAAATCAATTTTTAACAACACAAATATAGCCTCAGGTGAGGATTTAAAAAAATAAAAGCATATTACTGAGAAAAATGGAGGTAGCTACCAAAATAACTAAAAACAGACCTTTCAAAAGTGTGTGTGTCTAATTTGGGGACTTGAGAGATGAGAAGGTTGGACAGGGATTTATTGGTTGTCATGCCCTCCTGTACTATTTTTTATTTTTATAAATTATATGAATATATTGCTTTGATAAAACATTTTTAAAAGAAACAATAAATATTTGAATCATTGGCATGAATCATAAAATAATTTTTTCGTATAAATTTTAGCATCATAAGTTATATAAAGAATTCTTTGGTTATTACAGTATACAATATTTCAGAAGTAATTTGGAGGGAATTACAACTTTTACAATATTGAACATTACCATCCAACATCTATTTATTTATATCTTCTGTTATGTCCTTAAGAAAAATTTTAGTTTCTCCCACAATATACATTTCTTATTACTTTTTTCCTGGATATTTTATTTCCACTCTTGTGTAGTATCCTTTTTTTTCTCTATTACATAAGCTCTATATACCAGGAAAAACAGTTATCACCATTTACCATCTGAGTACAATGGACTCTTTATTTTTCTCTGGTCTAGTGATTTTCTTTATTTCTACACAATCTGTTTTCTTCTAGTTACTATTACATATGCACCTAATGTCAGCATTGTCCACTTAGAAACTATATCACGTAAATATTGGCACATAAATATCATAAAAGATGAAAGAATACTGTGCCACACATCCTTTTTTTTGTTGTTAATCCTCACCCGAGGATATTTTTTCCTTTTTTTTTTTTCTTTTAGAGAGAGAGTGGAAGGGAGGGACAGAGGGGGAGTGGGAGAGGAAAGAGAGAGCTTGACACATCAACTGGTCACCTCCCTGGAGCACATACCCAACCAGGGCTGGGTGCTTGGGCAGACACTCTAACCACTGAACACACTGGCCAGGGCATCATACATTCTTTTTGCAAACAGATAGCTTACTTAGGTAGGTTCCTGTTACAAACAATTGTGTGATGAGGTCCTTTCCTATTGAATAAGAACCATCTTTTTTTTTATTCTTATAAACATATTGTTTAGTCACTGATTCATAAGTTTGAGAAAATTTAGGATATTGATATCTGAAAATTCATACTCTTTTTTTTCTTTTTCTTTTCCTTGGGAGGAGAAGGGGAAGAGAGAGGGAGGAGATCTGAAAATTCATACTCTTGAGATCTTATTTGATCCATTTCACTAGCATCACTGTATTTTAGTTTAATGATATCTGTTCACCATTCCTCCATTGTCTTACTTAGTCTTTTCCAGCATTAATACTTGATGAATAATATAATAATTTCTAGGGTGATAAAATAGCAAATGTTTCAACAAAAAGAAAAATTAAGACTGCTAAAATCCTATAACATATCTTAGACTTGTAAAAGGGTCCAATGGATCCATACGGTAATTGTATATCCTATTTTACCCTATTCCTTAAAAAGTAAGTACATTTTATTTTTGATATTTTAAAGACCCGTGAGAAAGAATAAAATAATGAAATAGACATATAGAACTGTTGAAAAAAGAAACTCAAAACTAAAATTGGGTCCAGTGGATCCCAATGTTATGCCAAGGATTGGCCAGCAGGTGGAGCTACATGACTGGAAGAAGCATGAAAGGTTTGCTTCCATGTGAAAGCACTTTAAAAATGAGGAAAACACTTTATATTTGAAGTGCATACCATAGAGGTCAAAGAAAGATAAGAAAAGCTTTAAAAGAAAAAATCCCTGAAGTTAAGAAAGAACAATAAAGGTCTCTTAAATATTTTAGGAAAAAGTGAAAATGAGAAGGAGATTATTGTACCTTGCCAATAGAAGCAAAAACATGTTA